TAGCTTTTAGTGTTCGGGTGTGGAGTGGAGCTTGCTGTTCGTGTCTCTGTGCGAAGAAACTGTAAGTTTGCTTTGTTTCCTCCTTTAACAGTTTGTCTTCATGAACTTTACTATTAGTTCAGCTCATGTTTGATTTCTTAAAACAACAAACTGTTTTTATTTTCGGAACAAAACCGTCGTTTCCTAAACAGTCAGCCCGTTGTAACTCGGCCGAGTGTGTCCGCCATTTCCTGTTACTGTTTGTGATCCAGGAATCAGACTAAACACGGAGTTCGGCCGCTGTTCCACAGTAACTGCTGGCAGATTAACCCGTGTTCGGGTCTGTGAGACCCGCACTCAGTTTTTTTCAAAAGAAAAATTAAACAGTTAATATTTTTTAACCTGAAATTCATTGGCTTAGGCTTATTTTCTGTGAAGAACATAAATCCGAACTAATTTTCAATGACCTCATACTGTACCTCCCCCCACGCATTTACATTACATGCAAGGTGTTCGGGTCCACTGGACCCAGGTCTAATAAAAGTGTTGAAAGTGCAGGTCCTGTGTTCCCACACTCTGTCTTCCTCTCTGGTGCTGCTGATAGTGTTTTCTTCCCCTCCTGCTCCGCACAAACACCGTCTGCTCTGACATTCCCACACATTTTACCCTCTTTCTTGAGGGATCCAAATTTTCTTTTCTCATACCCTGTCCCACCTGCAAATTAGGGGCATAATGCTGTAAATAAGACTTTGCCAGTGTGGTTCTTTATCACAACTGATCGAGATGGCAAAAGATTATCTGCTGCGAGGGCCTTATTGATTTTGGAAGAGAGAGGGGCTTCTGATGATGATGCCGGGGAAGAAGTTTCAGAATATGAGGATCACATTTTTTGTCTGACAGTGACTTTGAAGAAGAGGGTGAGGTTGAGTGCCATTTAGTAACAAATGAAGATGAGTGCCCCATGAGAAGCCAGCTCCAGGACCAGAACAAGCCCACCAGACAACAAATGAAGAAATATGGATGTAAAAAAAAAAAAGAAAAATGGAGAAATTGAATGATCTTCTTGCCCAAGAAATGTTGTCTTTCCACTCCACTTGATTATAACTGATTTTATTTTTTATAACATTTTATAAAAACAAAACAAAAACGAGAAGCACATTAATTCATAAATGCGATCTAACAGAGGTAAAGGGAAAAATTAACCATGTTTGCTGTTCATATGGCTTGTAAGTGGGATGAAGTAAACATTGTTGAGTAATTTAACATAAAATTGTTTGATAGTGTTAATTTGGAAAGCCAAAGCTCTAGCGGGTCCACCAGACCCATGAACACTGGCTGAGTAACAAAAAATACGAACACCACACAAGGGTTAACTGATACTTAGTTTAGCTAGCAGTTAGAATATGAACTGTCAGCTTGGTCCTGGGCATTGTTATGGCCATGTTTGACCTGCTGCTT